CGCTACTAGTAGCAAGAAACTACGAACGGGGCGCTCCTGGCCTTACTTGGAACCAGGTTCGCTACGAACGTCACAAAGGGCTGGTCTGGAGTGGTATGTTGGGGCAGCGGACGCCCTCAGGTCCTTCACCGGCACCCTCCTTGGTGCAGTACTGCCCTTCGGACTCAGCGAAGCGTCCTTCGGACTCGTGGTCAGCGTTCGGACTCGCCCGTCCTCTGGATGGAGCTTTGATTCGTTTGATTCATCAGTTTACATGAACATCTAAACCACAGGGATTCATGCTGAAAAGATACTGAAACATCCAAAACTTGGAAGGTCAGTCTCTAGATTCTGAGGATCTTTTTTGATCACTTTGTCCTCAGTCCACTTTGTCCTCAGTTGTCCGGGCATTCTCAGAGAACCCCTCCACTACCAAAAAGGTTCCACTACCTCAACCATGTATCTATTACAGTTGCGAACTCTCTTCATCCACAGAAAACAAAAGCTTCCAACGTCCTCCAACGTCCTCGTCCTTGCTCGCCCCAACAGGGGGGGCCAGCTCCCAGACCGTCGTTTCTCAGGCTATGAGATCTCCGGATGCACCTGGCAGACCTCCACGTGGTTCCTCGGATGCTTTAACCGCACGACTCATCGATCCATGGAGGGTGGCAGGGGAAAGTGATGGATCGACTCACCACCAAGCCATAGTTTTTTCCCATCAGACCCGTGGCGGGTGGTATTTTTTTTTGGCATAGGTATCAAAAAAATTATTGAATAAATAAAAAATATTCGTTGTGCGATGAAATCTTCTTGGAATTCCCAGTCGTGTAGGTGGCCGGTCCTCTGGTCCATCCCCTGGTCCTCTGGTCCTTTGGTCCGCTGGTCCTCTGGTCCGCTGGTCCCCTGCAGTCCGCTGGTCCACTGGTCCGCTAGTCCCTTGGTCCTCTGGTCCTTCGTCTTTCTTTCTTTCTTTCTTTCTTTCTTTCTTTTTCGCAGCTGTTCTCCTTTCTCTTTTTTGCTTTTGCTTTTCCTTTTGTTTACGCTTGCGGTCTTAGACCTCTGAAAGCCTTGAATGAATGAATCTTCTCCTTTTGTTTGCTTTGCAGAGACGAAGCCAAACAAGGAAGCAAGCAAGCAAGGAAGCAAGCAAGCAAGCAAGCACGAGCTGCTCACCTTTGGATCTGGTGTGCTGCTGGGCGCTGCGCCCCCCCCCAAACCCCCCGCGCCACGAAATCTGCACTTCATCCCCGACACCCGCGCCTGCCACGAAATCAATATTTTAAGGTGAACTCCCCGGTGCAAAATTTTCTAACCAAGCAAATATGCCTCCTCTATCTTCTCCTCTATCTATCTATCTATCTATCGCTATCTATCTATCTATCTATCTATGTATCTATCGATCCATTTATCTTTCTATCTTTCTATCTGTCTATCTGCAGTTCAACATCCACAAAGTCCTACACCTGCCACGAAATCTACACTTCAAGGTCCACAAAGTCTTGCGCCTGCCACCAAATCTGCACTCCAAGGGCCACAAAGTACTACACCTGCCACGAAATCTGCGCTTCAAGGTCCACAAAAAGTCCTGCGCCTGCCACTGGCCACCAACTCTGCACTTCAACATCCACAAAGTCCTGCACCTGCCACGAAATGTGCATTGCAAGGTCCACAAAGTACTGCACCTGCCACGAAACACTACGACTACCACTACGATACTGCTGCTATTATAGTACTGTTGCTACTCTTACTGCTACTGCTATTTGGAATATTTTTTTGAGTCAGTATTTTTTTATTGATGCGTGTAGAATATTTGTTTATTGATACGTTAAATATTTTTTTGATCTCTCACTCGACTTTTTTCACGTGAAAACTCGTGATGATTGAAAGGGAGTGTACCTTGTCAAATGTTTTGGAATATGCCTCAAGCTCGGGAGGATTGGGGGGAAAAAAATGTTTTTGATTGCTTCCCCCCCCAACCATGACACCAAAAGAGCGCCAACAGCGCCTCAGCCGCGCCTCAGCATCTGCTTCCTGTTCCAGTCGCCTCCTCGCAGCGGTCGATCCCCTTTCACTGACCGAGGTCGGTGTGCTCCAACAGCTGCGGTGCCGGCACCTCCACCCGACAGGCGCTTTTCGCGCGCGACGAAGAAGGTCCCCAGGGGCCAACAAAGCCGCTTTGGGAGGACGGGCCGTCGTGGTTTTGTGTTCAACCGGAGGAGGTGGAGGTGGAGAGGGCTGCTCCGGTCGAGGTGTGAAAGGTGAAGCCGCTTCGGCTTTGACGGGTCATTTGGCCTGTGGAAGGTGTGAGGTAGTGCAGGTGAGCAAGCACAGCACCACCCAGATGATCTTACGAAAACATTGACCCCTTAAAAAGTGTTCAAATCACCCCAATAGGGTAGGCATGCATTTCAGTCCAGTGGATTGTTAGGGCAGGATTCTCGATCCTTGTGCCTTTTTGCATCCATCTTGGAAAACTGACCGGCTTAGCATGGCCATCATGTGTCAAACAATGTCAAAAGCTTTGCCAAGAAGCCGCTGGCCACTGCAGGTGTGGTGTAGCAGCGGTACGGACTCCGACTGCGGTGGCAGCAGGCAGGGAGCAATGCTCTGGCTATCTCTAGTTCATCCTGTGACACTTCTTCATATCCTATAGGTTTTACTGATACTAGGACCTTCCGACATGCTGTTGTGGCCACCAGGAACACCGAACTTGGAGGGGCCGGGTATAAATATACAGACTAGACAGATTTTTGACCTTAAATCTCCTCATGTTTATACCTTCTTGACTCTTGAACTTTGTTGTTCGTCTCCACTCCGACTAGACCTGAAGGGTCCGATGCAACGGAACCATGTGCAACCTGTCATCATCTTCCGGCCGAGCTCACCCTGAACGCTCACCATCGCTGAGACCACCGGAACTCACGTCGACATGGAACATCATGGAAGCCGTGGACCGTGGGTCGTTCGAGGCCGTTGGAGTTGCAGAGCTGTTACGAGACGGTGGGCTGTACCTGGCAGAAGGGGTTCCTTGGCGGGGCAAGCGAGCGAGTGGAGAGTGGAGAATGTCCTATGACATCACCCCAGAAAGGGCTCCTTTTCTGAGTTTGACGAGGTTTTTTCAAGGACCATCTTGGGGAGGTTTCAGGGTCGGTGGAACCAATGAGTTTCTACAAGTCATAGGAGGGGGAAACGGGTTGAAACGGCTTTTCAAGGCTCATCTCCCTGGTTGGTGGAAGCTTGCAGCGACCACGAGAGTTCCCACGAAAACACACGTTCGTCAGGATGGATCCTTGGGATGCACAGGTGAAAAATCGGCAGCTGAGCTCCCAAGCTGAGCTGCCTGCTGTAGGTGGATCCTGGCCTTCCCATCCCGGTGATGTCGAGGATGGGCAGGGTATTGATATCCCAGACACGACCTGTTTGGGACTGGCATATGTACCGATCAGTTATGGTTTGAGGCGGGTGAATCTATGTGATCATTTATGACACGACTCCTCCGGAAGAAGGGAATGCTCGAAAAACAGCCCTATATGATGTTAATTGTTGCCGAGTCCTGCAAGGGTGTCACCTTGTTTGTAGTCTTTTTGGCTACCATTAGCCTAAGGAAGCCCAATTGTTTAAACCACCCAGTCATTCGAGCTACGCACGAATCATCGCGTGAGATTCGAGCGCTAATAGAAATACCAAGCCAGCACGCATGAGGGACCAACACGGATCGCATTGGATGATATTGGATGTCTATTTTTTCTAGTTTCGATGAGCCTCCCTGGCGCAAGGGATTGAAGTCTGTCGACTGTTACATCATTCCCAGAGGTCCAACTGAACATCTCCTGTCAAAAAATACATACACTCCCAGCTGGGGGGTTATATACTGTATGTTTGTAGGGTGTTTCTAGATGGTCCAAGTACTGTAGATTCAGGCCCGGTATCTGGATGTTTCCGACTCTGCTGGACGGAACCTCTTCATCCCAAGGCACGGCAAGGCACGCAAGGCACTGCATCTCGAACGTCTCAGAAACACCGTGTGACACACCCAGATTGAGCAGACTCCCTAGGGCTCCTGGCCGCCCCCTCCTGAGGTTCGGTGGTTAGGGTGGGTGTTTTGGGGGGGTCTAACCACCTGAGGATATGGGACGTTCGGAGCCCTAGAGACTCTTGATCACTAACAATTGAAAAACCCTCTCTTGCGGCTTGTAGAGTCTTGGGTGGTGTTAAATCAAGACTCTACATGAAACGGACCATTGGATCCACCACAGGGCAACCCCCCCCCACTGCACCTCGCTGCGGGTCCCGCAACCGCCCGGCTCCTCGTGGCTCGACTCTGTGGCTCATGCGCGAGGGAAGACGAAAGCAGGTCGATCCATGTGGATGCCCTGTGGAAGTCCCTGTGGTTCAAAAAATCAGAAAAAATGCACTTGGTTCAAAACCTTGGTTTTCCACTCTCTACATCTTCGAATTGTGCATGGTGTTAGACACGAGTTGGCGTGCATTTGCATCGAAGTGCTAGAACGAGTTTCAAGACAGTTCCATTGTGAAACGTTGAGGTGAAGCAACCCCATCTTGAGGCTGTCCCCAGCGTTGAACTTCCCCAAAGCTACCCTCTAGAACTGGTGGGTCAACATTTAACATCCTTTCACCTGATTTGGGGGTATTATCCCCACTCCAATCCTAACAGGTGGACTTAAAACCACGCTGACACCGTCGGATCAACAATCGGAGAATACCCGCAACCATCGGAGAATTCCGGACCACGAAACCCACCAGGTCTTCCAATCACCCGAAGCTTCCACCACCCGAGTGGGGTCGCGTTGTTGTTGCGTTGTCGCGCGGTCTGGGTGCGACCGCGCCAGCTCCTCTCCCGGATTTGACCCGTGCGGCGGAGCGCCCGATGGGATGCCGAAGGATCGCGCTCGGTCGCGCTCGGAGTCCTCCTACTCGTGCGCCCGATCCGGGGAGCGTTGGGCTGAGAGGTGGTGGACATCGGTGGGGGTCGATGGGCTTGGAGGGAGGGAGATGGAGATGAGCCAAGGGGAGGAGAACAACAAGGCTGTGGAGCAAGTACAACTTAGATGCTGAAGGATGGGAATGGTACTATGTGTAATTGAATTAATGGTGTGTGTTTGGTTGGAGCCCAACAGCTGTTTGGCCTCTACCCGTAAGCTTTGGGTGTGTTGATAGGGTGATGCAGTTTCAACAATTACGGGTGAAGCATGCAGTTTTGAACAGAGGGCTTGGCATGGCTGGAGTCAAAGTCTCTCTTTGGGGTCAACCAGTTGGCTGAATGGAGGTGATGGGGGTTCACGACACGGTCCCTCGTGAGTCTTGTCAGGTGGGAGCAGGTCGCTGGCTGGCGGTTGCCAAAGCTGTGGGGAATGAGTTGATGCACCCAGGTCCCTGCAGCTGTGGTTTGGTCCACCCTTCGGCCGGTCTGGTCCCTACATCTCTCCTGCGTCGAAACAACACACATCATCCATGTTCTCGCGCGGAAATGTCAAAAGCCTCCACGAATTCCAAAAGGTCAAGATGGGCAGACTGACTCTTCCAACACCAACCTATAGAAGAAGAGTGGTTTGTTTGCTTGATGGGTTCTTTGCTTGCGGAATGTGGCTCTCCTCCCTCAACCAACCCTTTGGGCCCGACCTATCCTTAGGCCCGGCCCGGCTCAGCCGGGTGTGGACCGGTCCTCCCGTTTTTGGAGCCCCGATGAAAGCACCCAAACGGGGCCGCTTTCTGGGCCGCCTTGACGATTCAAAGAAAAGGGAACGACCTGGTTTTGTAGGGAAAAATCCGTAGTGTAAGGGTTGTTTGTCATTCAGACCGTTAAATCAATGATGGGAACCCTGGGGCATAGCCACTTCTTTCGAGCCATGATCACACGCTTCTACCAGCACGTGACACCTGCTCGAGGTACACACCTCGAAACCGGAGCCGCAGTAGCAGCCCCTTGCTCGCTTGTTTCAAGCATGACGCGCGGTCGGGTGTGGAACCCCCTTCTTCTTTGTGAAGGAAGAGGCTGCCTTCCAACTGTAAGAGTCCAAATGACTCAGGAAAACCTCCGGTAGTAGTGGTGGAGTATGACTCTATGACTTCCAAGTGTGGTAAGGCCGCTATGTCATAAGTTCTGGGTCATGGGCATCCTGGGCCGTGGCCGACACACAGATTCGCCTTCCGTTGGAGACCATGACTCCGCTGTTTTGCAAAGGATACAACTGGGGAGTAGAGTGGTGTCGAACTTAGCCACTGTTTCCACTACTTAGTGGTAAGTACCAGGACTGTGCTGGGGAGTAGTGTCACCATTGTGTGTTGTTTATAGATGTTTAGCTCCTTTGAAGCATTCAGGCTGGCTGATTCTCAGGCGCCCATTGAAATCCGATGAGTCCCAATCGGCTCGGGGCCGAAGGGCACTTGTGCTGGGCCAGGAGTCAAATGGTGGTGTCTTCCAAGTCAAAGTACCGTGACTGTGAGGGTCGTAACCGTTACGACACAAGTTGCGTGCCCTGTCTCATGAGTAGATGGGGCCGGGGAGGCGGTGCGGGTCTCAGGAGCAAGTGCAGCAAGCTATTCCTCCTACGAGTACTCTGATGAGGATACCCCACGCAGCTTGGACAGTCCTGGCGAGTGCGGCCCAACTTTCGTGGCTTTGGGATGGTCGATTGCCCCGTGAGTTCATTCACCTGAATGAAAATAGTTGGGAATCCACCGCTTCAGGTGCGAACAGCTGGGCAGTTCCTTCCTTCGCTGCACGCGTCACCATTTTCCAGGTATATCTCCGGCTCATGGCAGTTCATGGGCATCCTCAATGGCAGTTCCGTCCTCTGCTTCGATCGATCCATATCGTCCGCTCAACCCATTCGGGGCGTCCGACCCAAGCTCAGGGGCGTCCGAGTCCTGTCAGAAGACGAGACGACCGGAGGACCTGAAGACCAAAGACCAAGATCTGAGGACCTGGTTTGTTGGTATGGTATACTAATTATGCCGGTGCCTCACTTGACATCACTCGACATCCTAGACTCAATGCAGACCAACATGTGTTTGTTTATCTCAAGACATATCAAAGACCATTGGGAAAGTGGAACAGTTGTTGGAGCAAGACCTGTCACTAAAGCAGTTCGCTTTGGATGTTTCCTCGGAGTTTGATGGAGTTTGTACTAAGTACAGAAGGATCTCCCGCTGTCGGCCTCAAACGAACCGATATCACATCCCTGTAGATATCCACAATATATTGTACTGCTCTGTTGCTTTCGAACTTAGACATTCTAGAGATCCTCTCCTCACCCCAAACACCATGTCCTTCCAATAGCCTTCATGTTGTTTTCTGCCTCACCATCTCACCCGTCTCGTCACCCGTTGGTGCTCGCCCAAAACAGGCAAGGACAAGGTCAAAGGGGGCGCTGCTTGGCAGGTGTCGCCAGTGTTCCGAAAACCCCAAAAAGGGCAGCAGGTTGAAACGGTTTCACCTGTATTTTACTTTTTGGTATGTTATGTTCTGGATTATTCAGGATTGTGTGGAGATGGCTATAGTTTTGAGATGTTTTTTGTGTGTGTGTTCTTGTTGTGGCCCCACATGAGGGTTTCAGAGCAGGTAGCTCTGAAGAAATGCTGATTGAACAGGGAAGGCTGACCTTAGCAAGACACGATAGAAAGGGAAGACACATACAGTACCGTGGATCATAGCGCTTGGTGTTGGTAGGTCCACCAGTTTGACAACAAAAGAGCATTGAAAACTTGTTGCTGCAGATTACAGAAGTGATTCACGTGCACTGTCATTGGGCACTTTCGGATATTTTGTTAACATCCTTAATTACTACCACATGTAACTTAGGACTTTGAGCGGTCCTGTCTTGGTGGTAGCAGTATGTTACTTAGTAGTGGTTCGTTCGATGGACCCGGGACGAGGCAACGTACGCGTCCACTGAGGCCAAAGCTGATGAGAAGCTCGGCCAAAAAGAACGCCGCGAAAACACGAAGGGAACAACTTGGAAGGTTCGTGTTCACCACCAAGCTTAAGGGATGTTCCCCAATT